AATCTGCTCTGATTGCTGTCATGCTGGTTGCTTTTTTTCCTCATTTATTACAAGCAAAGCGAGGCAGTGCTTCACCTGGATTCATAGAGTTTAAGAGCGTAGTCTACAACCAACCACACTCTGCCCAGAACAATGTTTTGAACGTGAAATCGCTTTTAAGCCGTGATTTGGGATTCCCATTAGCCACTTTTCCATATAATTATCAAGTCAATTTGAAGCAAAACTGTAGGAAGGTTGCAAAATAAATGAGAATTCGGCTTGTTTCCATTTACAGCTTAGGGAGCAAACAGCTGTTGTTAGGAAGTGTTGGTGCAAACTGTACACAGCCAGAAACGAAACCAGCTGTTTGGCAAACCACAAAAAAAAAAAACACAAAAAGAAGAATAAACAAACCAAACTCTGGCCATCAATGACTGAGAATAAAAATAATCTTCTGGAATTGTTTTCAGTCTGTTGTAGTTGTAATTTTTTTTTTTCTTCATGTTAGCTGGTTTTGTTTTATAAGTCGAACCAGCTGATGGGTTGTTGGTTCACTCATCGGAACTTATTCGGAAACGATTTTTATGAAAAGTCAAGAACCAAATCAAGCAGTTGTAAATAGAATTGAGCGGAATTTGGGGACTTTTTTCCGACTTTTTACTGTTTCCATTAACTTTTTCTAATGTGAATGCGGCCCAGAGTACCAAAAGACTAAAATTCAACCTCAAAGACTTAGTGCTTCGTGGCTCAATCTGACATTTGACCTTCTTGTTGTAAACTTCTTTGCCGAGAACATATAGCATACAGTCAACGTATCGCAACGCCTCAAAAGATTAAATCGCGAGCTACTTCTGAAGTACCCCGAAACAACCGGCGGAGTGCAACAGGGGCGCGTCGTTGTGTTTTTCTGTTTTCCGAACATTTCGCACTCGCCGACCGACTTCGCCGCTCCTGAGTGGCTGGGATTAAGGTGGTGCTGCAATATTGATTTACGTCCGCATAAAGCCTCTCCGGCTCTATATATTACACCACATTCAGCAGTCATCTATTCAATCAAATCTAATATTACACTGCCTCTCCACACAGCTGTCTAATAGCATTTAACTCACAGTTTGATTCCTGCATTCCCTCATGTACTTCAAACGCTTGCCTTCAATATCCTTCATTCGTTTCTACTATGCCAAGATGAAGTCTTTTCAAAAGCACGGAGGATGAATGAGCGTGTCTCTGCGTTCGTGTGCGTGCGTTCGTTCGTTCGTCTGTGTGTGTGTGTGTGTGTGTGTGTGTGTGAAGACAGGATTAGCTGTGGCCTTAGGCTTAAGGTATGGAGTGGAGTGTATTTTAGAAGCTTCTAAATTAGCTGGGAAATGGGATTTTGAGACAATGGACTGGAAAAAACTCAAATGAAAGGATGCACTCGCAGCACTCCTTCATTTGCCTCTGATGTTCTCTCGCTTTCACTTTTTCTAGTTTTTTTTTTTCTTTCCACCGCCGCTCCTCTCTCTCGTCTTTTCTCCCCTCGCTCTCTCCCAAAGCTTTTTGACCTCCTTCGTTTCTTCTTCTTCTCTTGTTTCTTTCGCGCCTCACCTCCCGTGTTTCTCTCCTCCTTCCCCCTCCCCAAGTTTCTCTCTCTCTCACCCGCCTCTGTCCATATTACAGTTGACAGTAATGATGTAAGAACGTGAGTGTAAACAGTAGTATGAAGCTAACCTCACTTTGACCCACTTAAAACAGAAATCCCCCCGAGTGCACACACACACACACACACACCTACACACACACACACACACGAACACACACACACACGCTCTACAGACTCATGCCTGAGTAAATATTGGACTTGGGTCAGCAGCCATTCTTCTGTTCTGAATTCACCGTGTGAGAAGCTGAACTGTGCATGTGTGTGTGCGTGTGTGTGTGTGTGTGTGTGCGTGTGTGTGTGTGTGTGCATGTGCATGTGCGTGTGTGTGTGCGGTGCGTCCACCCCATCGGCAAAGCCACATCTGCTTCTCTCTCGCCTCCTCCCGCCACTCCTTCCTCCTTCCCCCGGACCTTTATTTACCTGTGGAGGTGTATTTGTGTCTAAGCTGGGTTTCTTGCTTCAAACGAAGTACTTCCGACCATGTAATAAAAGCCTGACATTTGGCGTGCATCCAGCTTCTTCCCCCCCCTCCTTCTTTGATATGTGCACACAAACACACAAGCCTGCCCAGGGCCCCCTGACAAGGAAACGAGCTTCCTTTTTTTTTTTTTTAAAATAGCACCTCCGTTCTACCGCCGTGGTCCTGTTGTTAAGTGTCTCTCCGCACCCACCCACTTGTGGGATGATACGTGATCCAGTGATTGAATCCCATCTGGGTGTTGCAGGGTTTTTTGCCCTCTGGCTCTCAGACGTGGCTCGGAGAGGTGTTGCTGATTTCTGCGCTCGGAATTAGAGAGAGCTGTCGTGGCACGATTGCTGCTTGATTTATTCCAGCGACTGTTTGTTTGTTATATCAAATGAAAGAAGAAGAAGAAGAAGAAGAAGGAAAAAAAAAAAAGGTGTTATTCCGGAAGTCTAACTGAGATCAGGATCTCGTTTGCGAGAGAGAGAGACCTGAGAAGAAATTACAACAATAGAGTTCGCTCGCACAAAGCAGTCATCACACACACAGACAGACTAATTAAAACTAACACAAATGTTATTAAAGATAGCAGCATGTAGAAATTTAAAGTCTCTCAAAGGAGCCAGTGTTCTTAATCAAAATTGTTATTAGTGTGTGGTTGTTTACCGCGTGTGAACGGGGATGAAGAAGCACATCGCCCAGAGTCCCCGTATCGACAGGCGCCTGTTCAGAAGCATTCATCACGTTGGAGCGTCGTAAACATGTGACATTTTAATATTATGATTAGTTTCCTTTTTGCTGGATAACTGCATCTTTTTTATCAGTTACTTCATAATGTGTCACATCTCTGCATCAAGTCAAATATCTGCAAATTATAGAAGCAAAACACTCCCTTATTTCTAGTTTTCTTTACAAATTGTAATGATGCGCTCCCATCAGGATGAATTCTATCGATTAAGCGACATTTGAGGATGACAAAATGTGATAATCTGTTTAGTTTAGTTTAGTTAGGTTTAGTTTAGTTCATCAATGACCATGATGTGCAATATTTTTCTAAATCCATACTGTACATATAACCTATACTGTATATATAACTTATCTTATTTTTTATACTTAAATTTCTTCTATTTTTCATTTTTTTTGCTCTTTATTTTGTACTTTATTCTATGTTGCACTGAAGGAGCTGCTCTCAATCTCATTGTACATGTGTATAGTGACAATAAAGGCATTCTATCTATTTTGGAACATATTCAGGAACCTCATGCGGGAGTTCACCTGACTTTTCCTGACATTTCAGAAAACATTAGGATGTTTTAAAAATGTTGCATTTGAAGGGACCACTCAACATCTTTGCATCACCTTCTCCTGGTTGAACGACTACGTTACCTCGTCGCCATCACAAATCTTGCGTCGCGGATGTTATTCTTAAGAAATTAACTCCGTATCAGATTTTTCTAGTCCGCCGAAGCTTCCCACATTCCTCGTACCCCGGATGCACGAATTATTACACATTTTAATGCTCCAATAATAGATCGGTTTTCACCTGATACATCTCTGGCTGTGAAGGATAATCTCCAGCTATAAAATTATATCACCTAGCTGACAGGAATATTGCCCACCTACTACAGTATAATCACACAACAGATAAGAAATCAAACTGTGGGGAAAAATGGATTTTGAAAGTAAAAAACCTGAAGACACCGCCTCCGTGTGTGTGTGTGTGTGCGACATAACCGTGTGTACGTCGGTTGTGTGTGTGCAAGCAGCTCTCGCGTGTGATCTCTCGCTGCGTCTCGCTGATCAGTTATCACTAATCCTTCCACTCAGAGCTCTTTAACAAGTTGCCATTGTGCTGCCGACGCTTAACATGATGGAGGAACGACCTTCGTGGCGAATGAAAAGAAGAGGGAGAGGGAAGGAGGGAGAGATACAGAGGGAGGGAGAGGGAGAGGGCAACACCTCCGACAATGGGGAGAAAATTGGTTTACACTAGATAGGCTTGTGATTACAGAGGGAAAGAAAATGACTTAGATTGAACAATAGGAACCGAGTGTGCGTCTGCGTGTGTGTTTGTAACGCGTGTGAGTGTGTGTATGTTTGGGGGGATTAGTGGGTGGTTAGGCCGGGATTTGGTTGAAATGAATTGGCGGGTATGGTTGCGCTGATGGGTGCGTGTTTGGGTGTTTTTCAGTCTGCATGTACTGTAACAGTGTGTGTGTCTGTGTATTACCTCGGGCAACATGCCTCTTTGTGTTGTGACTTGATCTAACTGGAAATTTTTATTATAGCCCTGCAAACCTACAACACGGTCCAATTCATCCCCTCCTCTCCATCCACCATTTTTTATTCCCCCTTTTTCTCTCTCGTAGCGTATAGGAGTGTGAAGATGCCTAATCTGTGATGTAATAAATGTTTAAAAGTGCTTCCTCATTTCAGCAACAGGAAGCTCAGTCAATGTGTGTTTTTTATGTATGTATGTGTACCATACCTGCGTGTACATTTTAGCAGGAACCCTGTTATTTTAGCAAGAATCCAAATTTGTATATCAAAGAGTTGTGACAAATAAGTCCAGGAGGCATTGTATTTTACAGCTGAACCATGAAATTATTATTCTTAACCTGTTCGTCGACGCAGCGTGTAGTAACAAGACTTTTTGTTAAATTACCTCAAGCACTTTTTACTGCACAAAATGTGTGTTTTCTTTTTTAATCGGGTCAATTCTAATGTTAAAATCCTGTTAGTCCTAATTTTTTTTTAATTCTCTAAAATATTGATGTGTGTTTAAACAAGGCAGGTTGTCCACACACACAGTTTTTTTTTTTCTTATGTCGACCAAAATCAACTTCTTCAGACTAAAACAGGCTGCAGATATCATCCTTCTCATGTGTTGATTATAGGCTCTGTGTTTCTCTTCAGGAGGCCCAGCAGGAGAGCTACAGCATCAGGGGTCCTGCCCCAGGGAATGCTGGGAAGGCCAACAATGAGGATGGCGTCTCCCAGGACCGCCCCTCCAGTCTGCCGGTAAGTGATTGACGCTTGTTCCCACCAAGCTGCGTTGATAAATGTGGCACACGGCATCGCACATTACAGAAGCTACCTCTAAAAAAAAAAAAAAGCCATACCTGTGTGTGTGAGAAAGACACCTCATCACTCACCACTCCAGCTGTCTGTGCAGCTTTAAGCCGTTCCATCCAATCACGTTCCTCCGACCCGCCTCTCCGTCTGACGTCCCCGTCGGGGTTCGACCGCTCGCTCGCGTCTGTGTTTTGACTGGCGTCCACGCTGAAGGCGAAAAGGCCACATGTATCATCCCGTGGTCTCAGCACCATACACTCACTCACACATACACCCACGTGCGCAGCAAAAGCATATGCGCCGACGCAGACATTCCCTCCGCGCGCACAGTCACACATGCAGAACCCACATGCACTGCCTCTTGGCATTTGGGCGAGCTAAAAATCGTTAAGCAGGTTGACTGGAGGAGTAATTGAGAAGAAATGGTGAGGCCGGGCTGATCCGTGAAGGGGGAGGGAGAGGGAGAGAGATGTGGGCTGTTCTAGCTTTTTTGGCTAAACGAATCGCTTTTTACTCTATCATTTCTCTCCTTACAGCTCCTCAGCACTTTCAAGAATAGAATAAATAGACATTTGCAAATGGTCGCAAATATTGGCACCGCTTGAGGTGTGTGTGCGGTTTAATTTACCAGATTCTTTTGGAAGAGCTCCAGGAACGGAGGAATAAACTGCAAGAAAAGCTAAATTAAGTGCATTAACTCCAATTAAGCCATAATATTCTCCATGTATGGGGACTTTGAAAGTCTGTGTGCATTGCTCGTCCTCTGTCGCCCCGACGGTTGACTTTGCCTCGTTTCAAATGAGCGCTGATTTATCTGTCAGTTTTCAAGGGATTCCTATTACTCCTCTTTCTCATGCACGCTATCACACGCTCCTCCCAACATAACATACTAATACTATGTCATCTGCTTTATCTTGGCGTTCCTCCTTTTTTTTTCTTCTTTCATTTTCATTCTCCCACACTCTTTTTTTTTTTTTTTTTTCCCCCCTCCCTTCCCTTTTCCCCCCCCCTCTCTGTCTTTTTCTCTAAAGTAGCATCATGAAAGCTTTTTTTTTTTTTCCTTCCCCCCCTCGTGCTATAATGAGAAATGGCCTTGATATATCAATGTGTGAATCCGTAGCGAGAGAGCAAGACGAGGCGAGGAGCCACTGCAGTCGCGGGGGCCGATCTATTTGAACCGGCACCACTATCACCCCATATTCCCTCACCACTTTAATCCTGGCGTTTTACCCCTTGGGTTCTCCGTGTGTTTTCACATCCCATCCAAAGCGCGTGGCTCGCCGAGATCCTAATCGGCGGCAAGTTTTGATGAGAGAGAGACACAGAGAGGGAGAGATGGATAGATAGAAGGGGAGTGAGAGAGAGGGAAGGGAAGGAGAGAGAAATTGCTCGCCGTTTGCCAGGCTCTTCCAGCAAGCTGTCACGGCAGAGATGTAACCGTTTTTTTTTTTTTTCCTCTCTCTCTCCTCTCTCTCTCTTTTTCTCACTCTCTCGCCGGCGTTTGATGTCAGATCTAAAGCTGCTGTCATCTTTTTTTTCTCCCTTTCTCTCTGTCAGGAGGGAGGGAGCGCGGGTCGGCAAAGTGTCATGTTGTTGTTTTGGGATGAGTCCGCCGTGTGATGTGGCGGGATTTTTGAAGGGAGACCAAAGGGAAAAGTGCTTTAGTAACTTATCACAAATGCAAGTCACAGTGCCCCTTGGGTCCTTTAAAATGTAACGTGCTGGAGATACAGAGCGCCTTGTATTCCGTGTCATTGTACGGCGTCTGTATCGCCAACGCTGCTGCTGGTGATGTAGAACCACCATCGCTTTGGTGTTTGACCATCTATGTGGGTTTCCTTTGGTGCTGATGTGACACTCGACTCGGCATTAACACTGAATTGTGCTGCTTTGCTATCTCAGTGTTAGTGATTAAATGATAGATTTTTGTATTGGCTATCAGTGTTATCGTGTTCACCAACAATCTTTCTGTTATTCATTTGAAGTAAAGTACCGTAATGTTCAGACTATTGAGGCACCTGAATATAAGCCGCACCCACTAGCTTTAAACAGAAAAAATAATTTGTACATATATAGGCCGCACTTGTCTGTAAGTCGCAGGTGTCCACGTTGTAACATGAGGTATTTACACATAAAGATTTTTTTAAACTTTTAATTAAATATGTACCACTGACATACACAAATATGTAAATGCTTTTTTCCCGAACAGTGTCTGCAACACGGCTGGTTAAAAAAATACAGCAGCCTACCAGGAAAAGTCACTGATCGCTATCTTCATCTTCCTCCTGCGCACTAAAACCACTAAAGTCGTCTTCTATAGCAAGAATGTCAAACTCTGGCCCGCGGGCCAAATTTGGCCCGCTTTGTAATTATATTTGGCCCGCGAGACAATACCAAATGACTACAAGAGTTGCCCCCGGTATTATACTGTACAGCGCATTCACCGCTAATACTACAAATCCCATAATGCCCTGTTGTTGTTTTGGCACGTCAATCAGGACAGGACCCAGAAACTCCCTCTCCTCTGTGACAGTAGGCATAGAGACTTCACACTACAACTGTCACTGTGTTTTTTTATTTATAATTTGATTTTGCATGTCTCCATTATTAAGTTATATATAATGTATGGTAATAAGCGTTGCTTGTTCCATGTTCAATGTTAAAGCAAAATTTGTTTCGGTCCATATTAAAAGGTTCATTTGTTCAATGTTGGCCCACGACTTTGTTCAGGTTTTAAATTTTGGCCCACTGTGTTTTTGAGATTGACCCGCCTGTTCTATAGTGTTGGAATCGAACAGCCTCAGAATGACTTCGTCACACACTTTCTCTGTCACTTTCATCTCGAGGCACATTCGTAAAAATCCATAAATTAGCCGCGTCATTGTTTAAGCCGCAGTGTTCAACGCGTGTGGAAAAAAGTAGCGGCTTATAGTCCGGACATTACGGTAGTGTTTTGTTTTGTTTTTATCAGAAAAGTTTATCATTTATCAGAGTCAGAAACTGTAAAAACAGGAAAAATAGTTGGATTTTCAACTTTCTGACTGTCCTTGAACTAGTTATCTGCTACACGCCTTTCTGTCTTGAAAATAATCCAAAACTAATGATAATAAACAGTGATATCTCCTTGAAATCACTTTGTTCATGTTGTTTTTTTTTCTTCATTTTAAAAATGCCAAAAAAAAATACAACATTTGTACCAAACTGATCCTGTAAATAACAAAAAAAACAACAACAATCTGTGCTTCTCTGCGTAGCCGAGTACTCATTACTGGCTCTGCTGTGACCTGTAGTTAAAAACCAAATCTGGGACTTTTCAGCTGAACTGGAATGAACTGCAGGCTGTGTTTGGACACAGTAGGGAGGAGGCATGCACAGAAACAAACAAGAGGGAAATATCTATAGTATGTAGAGCCGCCATTCCCTCCTAGTATTGGGAACAGCTGTGGACACTTGGAACATGTTGATTCCATCATGCTTTAATAAAAAATAATAATAATAAAAAGAGAAAACAATACTTCTTTTTATACATATTTAGCCGTTTTCCTAATTATGATTTATGGCATTATGACTGTCACGCTACACAAAAGACGTTTCTGAGCTCTCTCTACTTCCATCCATGCTTGTGCTGTTTTCATTGAGGTATCGCAGTGAAAAATGAGCCCAGATTGAGTAAAAAAAAAAAAAATTGACAAGAGCTAAAAAATCCCCCCAGAAACTGCTCCGAGGTTCAGGCTGTTACACTGACACTAGCGTTTACCACCTGACAATAACCACAGTATTCTTCTTCTTTCAGTACTTCCAGCCTCTTCAGATTGGCTCTGATCCTCCTGTTCCATACAATCGTAAAATGAGTTGCCAAAGCAAGAGCAAAGATCATCCTTTGAGAAGAGGAACAACTTTTTTTTTCTTTTTTTTTTAAAGTTGGCTGTAGGCCCCCCATTTATTTTCTTCCCCTAAACTGTGAATGTTAGTTAAAGCGGTTGCCAAGAGTTCTGGTTTGATTTTATGTGAAACTCATTTTCTAAATACTATGTTGTTTTCCCAACTAAGAGCCATAACTTTGAACAGAGATGTTTTATTTTTTTCATCTCATTTGTTCATTTGTCCACAGCGACACATCAGATACTCTAAAATTTCAGAGGAACTTGATGGAACCGTGTTTTCTGCGTGACCCCGATTTCCCGTGGACGTATGTGAAAATTACGGGTCCATAAAAGGTGACATGTTTGTTGCCGACAGTGTGTTAGAGTTGGACTGCGTGATTGGCACCGGATGACACGTTGTCTGCTGCCTTGTTATTTCCAGCTGTGTGTGGCAGTGATGTTTTGTGGGGAGAGAAAAAAGAAAAAAAAAAAAGAGGAGCTCTATGTTTCTGTCCTCTCTGCAGCAGCCCTCAGCCCATTGCATCTCTTGCCTTAACGTTGCTAAGCCGAGCCAGTTCATCCGGTGCCACGGAGAGGTGAGGAGCCAGGGTTTTTCATACCCACTGCCCCCCCCCACTTCCTCCCCAATCCACCGCCACCCCTGTTCCAGTCACTACATGTTCCCTGCTCTCCGGCGCTCCCCTGACAGCCTGCCAAGCTGCCGCGCAGCCTCCCATCCTCTGGGACATGGGAGAGGATGGCCAGCCATGTGGAAAGACAGAGTGAGAGCTGGCTGGGGGTGGGAGGGTGAGGTGAGGAAGCAGGGGGAGGCGGGGGAGAGAGAGAGAGAGAAGGGGTAAAGAGCAGAATGAGAAAGAACGCGAAAGAGAGAGAGAGAGGGGGAGATAGAGAGAAAGGGCGTGAAGCGATGAAGTGAAACGTGGTTATCTTTTTGTCACTTGTTCAGGGTGAGGGATGTTGAATTCAGGCTATGGGGTTCCGGCAGTGGTGTGTTATTCACACTGATACACACACACACACACACACACACACACACGCACACACACGCAGACAAAAACATTT